TCGTAAGCTATCTCGTCCGCAATAGAACGCTTCAAGGTCAGGAAGTCGAAGTCAAGTCGAAGTCGAAGTGGAGCCAAGTGACGCCTTTATGTATTCAGGTCATAAACAGGTTAGTTCAGCTTACTTGCTACACGTAAAACTTGTCTCATGCGAGGGGGTTTGGTGAAATAATATAATTGAAGAATTATATCATTGGCTACTGCGCACTGATTGGCTACTCAAACTCCCAATATCCTTTGCTATTTATCTACGAGAAACGCGGGCGGAATTCGCCAGAAGCCAACGCAACTTTGGTGAATAGTTGTTAACTATGAATTTCATCTCCAGATTCAATTTCTTCTGCGGCCAACTGGCGATCACAGGCTCAAGTTCAGTTTGTACCCTCTTTACGGGGGCTTTTTGACTCTTCCCAAGCTGCATTTCAAACTGCCTCGCTTTCAGGTTAGCTGAGATGAACATGCGCAGAAATTGGTTCCGACCAATGTTTTTATAAAGGTAAGAAACTTTTTTTATGTCCAAAACGTGAAAAAATGCAAATATTTTGCAACGCGTTGGCAGAACATCGGATAACGCTCAATTTGGGTGGTTTTATTGATTAACACAATCATCAGATGTTTCTACGCTCTAATTCGGTTCACTAAATTAGTTATAAATTATTCAAGTGTTTGACTACCGTAAAGTTTACGATCCAAATCGCCATACTGGCTTCTCGCTGAAAGGCTGTATCCTTTAACCCTTTCACTCCCAAGATATTTTTATTAACTCTCCTTACTGTCTGTCTTACGATTCTTTAGATGTTAGTTCGGAGAATTTGTTGATGGATCAACTGATAATCCCTAGTTGATTTTTTTTTTACTCTCATAACTTGTCTGCTTTATATTGTTTTGATATTGTAAGGAGAAATTCTGTCTTAAGTCACTTATGAGGACTTCCTGACTTGAAAGTGGATGTGAATTCTCAGGCCCGGTGGCCGTATTTGCAACACCTTTACGGCCCTGAAACGGAAAAACAAAACAACAAAATAAACAGCTGCAGTAACCTTGTTGGAAGGGATGGCTGTGTAATGTGTTATTACACAGCGTGGACCGACTGTCTGAACAAATTACACATACCAAAAATTTATTAGTTATCAGTTTTAAAAGTTAGCACGTAGCATATCCTTGCGAAAACAGGTCTAGAAGTTTTTAGTACAACTAGCGACTGGAATACCAGTGATTAGTCATAAAATGGATTAGTCACAAGTTTTAAAAGTTAGTATGTAGGATATCTATGCAAAATCAGGTATAGAAGTGTTTACCATAATCAGAAACTGGAAATCCATTGGAAAACTCATTTATAACGTGTCTGTTATCACACAGCCTCGAGGCCGGGAATTGGAATCTGAGAAGAAGCCTGGTTACGAGTACAAAAGATAGCTAATGGAACAGTGGAGACTGGAGGCAAACTTTCCAGTTATAGTCACAATAGGATTTTAAGCAGCAAAGTGATGCAGCGGAGATTTGAACCGCTGTCAACTGACAGCCACATGAAGGAAATTCTTTAGTGGGGGCTTTTGTCCACTGGCTGGTGAATTGCAGGATGTTTAAGGCCAAACAACTCTGTGGTTAACAGATACGCTTATGTCGTATATACGCGCATGTCGTATCGATATCACGTAGAATCAGTTGCACTACTTCCTTTGGGTGGATTAAGAAATTAAGAGTAGTGCTACTACATAGAACGACGACTTGCCCGGAGATGTTTGTTCCGTTTGCGAGTTTCTCTCTCTTGTTGACTTGGAGTAACATGTTTCCAGTTTTGTTCATATTTAACCCTTGAAATTTCGTATAGAACGCTTTTTGACAAAGTGTCGTAAAACTGAAATCAAAGTAATCCCAACAGCCAATCAAAAGAAAGAAAATACTTTGAAGAGCCAAAGAGAAATCAAAGTGAACACAACCAAACTGTCTAAAGCGCGGGAAAACACGGGCGACCAAGTTGTGGTTGATTTTAGTTTAGCATCTGATTGGCTGAAAGAGAGTGGCCCGAGTTTTCCGAGTTTTATACACCAATGAGGTCATGGAT